GTAGTGTTTGTTATCTAAAGTTTGGAAATTTAATTTATTTTCTAAAAATTTTATTATATTCAGTTTATAGCACAAAAACCTAGAAATTAGACATTCTCTGCATTTAAGGCGTCGCCTTTCGTGTTGGCCCCTATATATGTTAGAGACTAAAACATAGACCTACGTGATTCATATTCAGTAAAACTGATTTCTTTGTCAATTTGCACTTTCATGAACCGATTTTCACCATGAAATATGAAAAATTATCCCTCCTCCCCACGTAAAGATTCAGTTCTCATAGCAACGGTTGTATGAAAGGGAGCTCAACAATTTTGCACTAACCGGATCGAATTTTTTATATTAGTTTAGAATGTCAAAGTACTATTACTCAGCGAATTTTTTCGAAAAATGTTGAAGTTTTGCAATTTTTTTTCTATATAACGACTTGTTAACATAAAGCGTGATATGGAATGTGATCGAAGAGATGGACCGATCCGAGCCATTTTCAATAGCGTTAGTTCTTGGATCAAAGCACGTTAGTCTACCAAATTTCTTCATCATATCTCTCGCAAATTGCGACTTGTATAGCATAAGCATAAATACACTGACGGGTATCAGATAGGCAGACAAGTTTAAACCGATCCGGAAAATGACGATAAACTGATTCATGCAGTGGATGACAGGTGTATTGCAAGTCCTTCTGAATGTTACATACATCTTTACCAAAAGTGACGTAGGGTGTAAAAACCGCTTGAAACGTAGTTGCGTATCTGATGTAGTTTTCCTTGTTTTAATATTTTTTCACCTGAAATTTTCATTTCTCACCTCTTCGTATGACAATATAAACAAAAAAAAAAAAAAGGGAGGAAAAAAAACGACTTCGTTAAAGAACTCGATAAAATTCAAATGAAAAATTGAAATGAAGCAATATTTGCACTTATTATTAGCGTAATATTCAGCTGCTATTATAACGAATTCTCGGAAAGGCAAAAACTATGCGCAGGTGTTGACTTTCCATATGTCCGAATGAAAACGCTGAAGAACAAGTAAATATTGTTATTATAGTGCGATAAGGGTTTCTATATCGGCGAGCATATGATCTCGGTTATCCGGCAACCTTTTGAAAATATTTATTATTAACTCATACGATGCTTCGCTTACGGCTTCTTTTGATTTAGGAAAAAATTCAAAATTTCATGTACTAGACTATCCTATCCTATCCGGGAAGAGACAAAAGTGCATAAATTTTAAGCAGCGCAAAAATTCTCATAGTTTGCTTTCTAAACTTGATTGAGTCCATAAAAATTTTGACCATATTGTAAATCGTTTGCCGTTCAAGTTTCTTATCTTGTAGTTTTTACACTTAACATCACCTACAAGGGATACAAGGGTATATTTAGTCTGTAAGGATGTATGTAAGATCTAGAAAGATATGAAATAGACGCGTTTATCTAACCTTCCTTGTTCGCTTGTCGGTCTTTAAATCTTGTGTTCAACCTCCAGATGGCAATACTCGAGATATTTTGTTTAAATCTGGTGTTTTGGCCCACTATTGAACGCCCATGAAAATGCTTCGAATCGGATCACGCCTTACGTCGAAAAGTCTACGCCATTTTATGGCGGGCGTTCGAATGCAAGTGAACATTAAGAGCACGAGGTTAACTACGATACATTATTTAATTAATCACTTTCACGTGATGCTAACGTATAACATCGGAAGTGCCCGACCACCATATAGAGACGGACAGACAAGCTTGGATCGTTTCAGATAATAATCCTTAGTCGATGAATGTGATAAAAGGTGCGTTTATCTAGTACGTCCGCGCAAGCATAGTAGTATAGCCTGCGCAACGGACGGTTTAGGGCATAAGGAAATTTATATATTTTGTGAAACATGGAGTTATAGTCTCGCACCGATTTACTAGATTTTTAAATATGAACTGAGGATTTCATTAAGAACGATGTTAACGTGCGTCAACAACAACAATTTTGTTACATTTTTTTTTTCGTTGTGTAACGTTCCAGAAAACTTTCCCTACCGATTTCTAAGCAACGCGGGATCTACGGGCCAATTAAAATTCATAAACAATAATCGGATTAGATAGTGAAGTAATTTCTTTAAAGAAAAAAGGAAAGATTTTTTGTTCGTGAAACTAATCGGCGACACCTTGTTGCAGTTGTTTAGATAATTTTCCTATGAAATTCTTTTCCTTTATTAATCTATTAACACAAAAAAATCAAAATTATGTCAATTTTAAATTTATGTACATGTGAATGGAAAGTGTATCTTGTATACAAAAAATTTACAAAAAGAAAACAAATTTTATTTTCATTGAAAACTTGTCGTGTATTGTCTTGTTCCATGCGCTACCTACGAGTGCACACTTGAATAACTTGTTGCTATTAGTGAATGTTGTTCATTTTGTTAAAGTTAAAGTTTATTACCCTCGTACCAAAAAAAAAAAAAAAAAAAAGTAAAAACACTATATGGTAAGTCAAAACCTATCGTTAAAGACCCTACGGTTATTCATGTAACGACTACTCAAAATGAGGCATTATATGGAAGGATGGATCTACTACTTTTATTATACCTATCAATTAAAAATGATTTTCTGAACCGATCTAAGCGTGTCTCTCCGTCTGCCCGCCTGCCCGCCTGCCCGCCTGCTATCCCTCTCTCTATGTAGGCTTCTCTTCAACCTATATGCCGCAATTTCGGCAGTCGCCGACTGCTAGTATTTCGGCATACTAATCCGGCATGAAAAATTTGAATCGGCTAGTCCGATTTTTCGAACCTTCGCCCAAATACAACCACCGCCACTGCGAAAAGGAAGGCTTCATACCGGAAGAGGCTCGAATTCTTATGTTTTAACGAATGACAGTCGGTTCGTAATGGTAATTTGGCATAAAAATTAACTGTAAAAAAATTTGAATCACTCGGATCTAGTTTTTTGACATCACCTCTTCTAAAGTAGAAGAAGAGAAGAATAGAGAAGAATAAGAAAATATTTGGCAGGAAAATTAAATTTACTCGTCTATCCACGGTAGCTTTCGGCATTCCGTTTCAACAGGATAATTAGGAAATGATGAATTATGCTAGATAAAGTAACGCAAGGTATTTGGTGGTCGGTTTTCTCCGACTATAATATTCTTACCTGTTTTAATTATATAGTGTTTTATTAAGAAAAGCTCAGTTACAATTGCTATCAGCCGAGTGTACACTAATCTACGAATTAGCAAATAAATCTTATGATAAAAACTTTTCAAACTAAATTAAACAAAAAGTAGAAATAATATAACTCAGCTAATTTGTTGAGAGATTATTAAAAATGCAAATTTTTTTTTTCGGTATAATGAGTTTTTGAAAAGAACGCTTTCAATGTCGAGTGATCGTAAAAGTGGTCTGTCTGATTGAAGTCTGATTCTCAAGACATAGGATTCGAACTTGGAGTAAAGCACGTCAATGTTACTAAAGTTCGTCAAAATATCGGAAAAACGACAATCCGCGGGTTAAACGCAAAAATATTTGGAAAGACATCAGACAGACGGACGGACAAACCATCAATTAAGAGTATAATTCTGCTCGATTGGTATAGCAAAAGGTGGGCCTGTGTGAATTCCTCCAAAACTTAGCATGCACTGGTGCTTACGTGGTGAAGGTGAACATAAACCGGGGAAAAATTATATGCACATTGAGTTCCAACAATTATGGTAAAAATATATGCGTTTAGGATGAAATCAACCAACAAGCAAAATTCAACTATCAATGATCTGCGATATTAAGGGACTCGGAATAGACATTCTTTGATAGCGTTGCTCAATATCAATATCGAAATTAAATGATAAGGTTTCATAAAGCAACCAAGTTAAACGGAGAGAATATATTTGTGCACCTAATAGCTTTTGATTACAAGCGTGCGAACTTTTATCACCTATACGTCGTGGTACATGGGTATGTTAAGTTCGTACGAATGTATGCAACATTTACAGGAAATTGAGATATGCTCACCTGTTATTGCAACAATCGCTTTCTGAATTGGTTTAAGTTGCTCTGTTCCTCTGTCCACCTTGTTTACTTACCTTGTTCGACCTACCTACGTCCGCAAATTTTCGAAAGATAATTTTTTGATGAATTTTGATACACTGACGTGTCTTGTCATTGAATATGGATTGCATCGAAGCACTTTTTCGAGCAATTACCATAGAACGTACCATTTTGAATA